TTCTCCTATCTTTTTTGGTTTTATTTTTTACTTTTTCTTTAACTTTCAGCCAAAGGGTTCTATGATCTCGAGGCCTTAAATGAAGCTGCTTGGACAAGTGCCCAGAGCCAGTTGGTTCCCTGCACTACTTGTGGGCGGACCTTCCTGCCAGACAGACTGATTGTTCACAAGCGATCTTGTAAACCAAAATCTGCCAAGTAAAGCCCTTTTCTCTTCACCGGAGTGTGGCATGAATTAATTCTTTTGAAAGGGATTAGTATATAGTGAGAAAGAGAAAGGGGAGATAAGGAGAGAAAGAATGGAAAAATTGCGACTGAGTGACATTCTGTGGGGTAAGCTCCTTGTCTTTGGGGTATATCCCCCCGCATTGTAGAACATGCAGCTGCAGGTACTAAGCCACATTCACCAGGCAGAACTACAAGCAGATTGCTTCTTATCAGAGCTGAAATTTTTATCTAAAGAACATTTCTGATGCAATAGTTTCTACATTTCTTCGATTCAATTTTCCGAAACAAGATTTTGAACCTCACAGTTAGGAATATTGTTTATTGAACAGTGGGTTTGGGAAGAACTTGAGGCAACTCCTTAGTCCAAGAAAGAAATAGATTTCTGGGCTGGCTAGATAGCTCAGTGAACTAAGCTCCTGTTTAGGCAAGCACAGGGACCAGGGTTCGATACTGGGCACCACGTGCCACTCCAGCCCCACCCCCAGGCGTACTGAGCCAGCCAGTAAGACTGAGCATGGTGATGCACTCCTGTAATCCAGGCACTGGGGAGACTGAAAGCAGAGGATTACTATGAGTCTGAGCTGCATAGTAACACCCTGTACCAAATATATAAATTAAAAAAAAATTCTTTCTATTCTTATGCTTTCTGATCCAGGACGTATTTACTTTGAGCTATTTGACTGAGAAAATTTTTTCCTTGTAAGATCATTCAATAGGAAAGATTTTATAAAAGGGCTGAGGACTTAAAGTACTGACTGGAACCATATCTGATGCATATTCCCTTTATAACAGCAAGAAATGCTAGAGAGGGAAATCTTTTAGGCAGCACTAGCTTCATGTGTCAGGAAACAGCTGCAACACAGTTCATAAAAACTGGTTGGGTCAGCTCCTCCTGCAGGAGAAGTTCAACAATACATCTGTATGCCCTCATAGGGTTGTATAGGCGTTTCGTTGCTCAAATCTAAGACCTGCCAGGAAATTTTGTGCCTACCCACTCAAGGCCTATTCAGCGTAAGTGGGTAGGCTCTGTATTTGTGAAAGTGCTCTGTATTTCAGAATCTTTGAATGTGTATTTAGCTAGGTGGGTCTCTCCTGGGAAGAAGCCAGGGTCAGGGAGCGCTCTGCCCAGGAAGTTCTACTCCCCCAGGCAGTGTGGCTTCATCTGGACTCCCAGCAGTCTTGCCTGAGATCTTTGTTCATTTTATGGCTGAATCCCAGAGCCATCTGAGTCCCTAGGTTTCTTCAAGCCTCATATCATGACCTTACATGACACAATGAGTTCCAAATTAAACAGGTAAATGCATTCAACTTACTATTTTGATAACCTAATTATTTTACAGGATTAGGTTAGTGTAATTATACTAATCATTCTGTTTTTCCTGCCTGCTCCTAAGGAAGCAAAAGATGAACTTTTTAGAGACTCAGTAGATACTCTCTGCATTTGTCATCTTTCAGTCCCTGTGACAAAATATTTGGCATAAATTAATTTAAAGAATCAGAGAGGAGGGGGGTAGGGCCAAAATATTGTCCTCAGTATTGTTTCCATGATCTGTTCCCTTCAGCTAGGCCTGTCTCATGTTTAATTACCTCTAAATAATGCCATAAGATTATTAATTCATAAATGGATTGATCCATTGATGAGGTTAGAATCCATACAATCCAATCACTTCCAAAAAAACTTGAATTGAGGGAATATTTTAGATTCAAAGCACAACACTCTTAAATAAAGAATCTTGTGAAGGATGTGACATTGAATGACTCAGAGTTGATGGCTTAGCTTTTTGTTTTCTATCTGCCAATCAAAATGTTACAAGTATACACTGAGTATACTATGGATAAGATGTTCTGCCAAGAGCTATGTGTATATGAGACTCTATATAGCTTACATTAGCCCTACAACTAAATACCATTGTCATGAATTTACAGATCAGGAAATTGACATTTAGACTAGGTAACTCAAGCTCACTTTGAGCTTGAGTTAAAGGATTAATAGGAGGCAAACTCAGAACTGCTGGACTGCTGAGCCAACAGTTACAATCGTTACTTATACCAGATGTCATCAGCAATAAAAATTGTCAGACAAAAGTGAAAAATCTTGCACAAGAATTAGTTTAGTAACTAAAGTAAATAAATGGGAATTTTAACATGTATAGAGTTCCGATGATAGTCTGGGTTGTCTTAGACTAAGGTAAAAACAACTTGAATTACACTATTAGAGTTTTCAAAAAGATATTTTTTGCTGTGCTGATGTTGCAGAAAATAAAAGCATGAATGGAGATAAAGCAAAAATTCTGTCCTGAATTTTGAACTGAGTTGTTACTCAGAACTGCAAAAAGTTCTATGGACATGCCTAAAGAGCAAAAACAACAGTGTATTTATCTGTATGAATTAAACCTGTGAAAGTGGGGGAAAAGCCAGCTGTTCTTCAGACAAAGGACTGATCTGATATCAAGAACATATAAAGAATTGGGGAAAAAAATCAGACCTTCTAAATTTAAAGGCCCAGTTCAAAAATGGTCATCTGAAATAAATACTTTTCAGAAGAAGGACAAATTGCAAATAAATATATGAAAATTAAATGCTTAACATCACTGATCATTCAAGAGATGCAAATTAAAACAACACAGATTTCATCTCACCCCAGAAAGAATGGTTATCATCAACAAATCAACCAATAAAACGCTAGTGAAGCTGTGGAGGAAAAGGGACCCTTCTTCACTGTTGGCAGTGTAGATTGGTGCTGCTGAAATCATTGTGGAGATTCCTCAAAAAAACTAAGACTAGGTGCCTCCCCCACCCTGCCCGCCGAGTTCGATTTTCTGCC